TCTACTCATGAAAAATTTAAAACAGGGGCAGTGCCTCCTAGCGCAAAATAACATTTAGGAAAAAGAATGCATGTTGCTCAATGTGATCAAGATTTGTTAAAAAATTCTTTAAAACATTCAAAGAGTTACAGAGTAGGCATAAAATAAGTCAAATAGGCATTGACCCATAACTGCGACTATGGGCATGAAGTGAACCATATATATAGATATTATACAAGGACGTGCCTTGATCGGGTAAATAAATATGCAAAGTTTTTTTTATCTTTTTCAATTAGTTTCAAACTCAATTTCAACCACGATTCACATTACTTCCTATTAAGCAGACAGTGCAGTTGAGTGAATAATAAGTTAATTAATTACTGCATGACGGCATAAAAGGGAGCTGGTCTGGATCCATGCTGGTCGCAAACGCACTATGTTGGTTTTGTCGTTACGCGGCTCATTTTATATTACTGGAAATATGATTTTGTGTTCAGTATTGGTGATTCACTCTTACTTTTTTTCTTTCCTTTTTTATAACAAATAAATTAATGTTAATTCTAAATAACCATGGGAAGACTATCTTACATAAGAAACTTACAAAGGGACAGTGATATATTTTCAAGGTAATTTCATATAACCAAGGTGTAACGTTAATTTATTTTGCTTAAGAATTCTGAATGGCATATGCCACAAGCTCTCTACGAACATGTGATTGCTTTAGGAGCACATATGAAACATCAAAGTATTGATGCTGTAAGATATAATTTCACATGATTTCAATTCAGCCATCAATTGCATATATCCACCCTTCCTATGCTAAATATCTGAAATGGCCTGGTCCATCTTCCAATCTGGACAGAACCATTAAATATTTTAGGTAAAACAGACTAAATAGCGAACGCTGCAGACGATGATCAGACGGCACGGAACTGCCGGTTTTTTTTTCTGAACTGGTCACGTGGCTACTGTTATGCGCTGAATTATGGGTTCTACTGAAGGTGGATTGTATCACAACACAATGTTCCGTTTTATATTTTAATGTTTCTTTCTTAGTGGAATACCACAGATAATATATAACATATACACAGGTTATCCTGATGTTAACAAATTGATATTAAAAACAGTAACGATTATTTTTAGTGGAAAGCCACAATACAATGTTATCACTTGGAAATCCAAAATCTAACTGACTCTAAATTTTCTACATATATCTTTACAATAATTCTAAAATTGATTTCGTTTTAACTGACCAATAGAATTTTAACCTTTTTGTGTCTTAAATAACAAAATGACCAATCAGGTTTCAATACAAAATAATGTAACATAGCAACATAGAATTTATAACAACAATCATCACCTGGATATTTTATCAGTCATAAGGTTTAACAACATGATAAGTACAGACAGCTTAATTGACCTTATCACCTATATATTATAAAACTTTTAACACAGTTGATTGGACAAAGAGGAAAAGCCGCATTTTAATCTTCCAGTTACATAATTTTAAATTTGACATCTGTTATTGAAACATATACAATTTGTAACTTAACATATTTGAAATTTCACAAATTTTGTTTTAAAAATATGACCTTTTAGAAAATGATTATATATATAAATATTTGTGTTTAAAAGAAAATCATCATGCATATTTATTCTTTTTTTTTATAAATGAATTTATCATTTTTCGGCTGCACAACACTTCTCCCTCCTTTAAGACTATTTCACTCCTGTGAAATGAAGCATAATTACAATATAACAAAAATAAATATCATTAGATTAGAATAATGTTTACGTAAGATATTCAGTTACAGACATATATACGTGAATATAAAGCACCGATTTTGCTGAAAAGCGTAAGTACCATTCACTAATAATATATATCCTAATCACTGTCTTATTGTAAACAACACAGTTTTAATGATGTCTATTTCTGTTGTATTGCCCCCTCTGTCCTTGTTGTCTTCCATGATGATATTGACCTCTCCATTCATGTGGGAACCCGGTTTCGCATGTACTTGAAAGATCTTGATTTCTGTTTCCTCTTTTTCGACATAGATATTTAGTTTTGTCTTTCAACTGAGCAATCTCGTCTCTCAAGTTGTGGTTTTCATTTTTTAGGTCATCTATTTCGTCGTTTTTCCTTGATTCCATCATTTCTATTTCATAAGCTTTCTGGTTGTGTTTCAGTCTCAGCTGTTCGTAATCGTCATTAAGTTTCTTAAATTCTAATATAAGTTTGTCCATTATCTCTAATTTTGAAGAGTCAGCCCTAATTGTTTCCTTTAGCGAGTTGTTTTTATGTAAAAATGTTTCTTTAAGTTGACTTATTTCTAATTTCTTTAGGGAAACCTCATCCTGTAGTTTTTCATTAAAATCCTTAAGTCTTTGATTTTTTAAAACAAGGGCCATATTTTCTGCTTTTAAGCCGTTAATAGTTTTAGTCATTGAATCGGTCAATGATTTCAAATTCTGAAATTCTGCTGTTGAAACATTACTTACAGAGTTGTTTGTTTGGTTCTTCTTAAAGTAGGCATCGTCTTCATTGTAAAATGGTAATGTATTTTCGGCTGTCTTGCGTCTGATGAAAGTTGTCATGCGTTCCTGATCGCGTAGTTTTGAGTGGTTTGACTTTTGCCTAACTGCTGGACGTAGACAAACTCGTGCAAAATGTCCAATTCTATTACATTTGTTGCATCTTGCCATTTTTGCACAACACTTCTCCTGTCTGTTATTATGATAAAGTCCACATTGTCCACATGATTTTTCACTTCTAAATGGTATTCCATATGTGAAACTCATTGTTGTTCTTCTTGGGGAATTGGAATTCGTAGTATCGCTTGCTAAATTGAGAGGTTGGGAAAGACACTGATTCCCGCCACGTGTTATGCGCTAAATTTAGAGTTCTACTGAAGGTGGATTGTATCACAACACAATGTTCCGTTTTATATTTTAATGTTTCTTTCTTAGTGGAATACCACAGATAATATATAACATATACACAGGTTATCCTGATGTTAACAAATTGATATTAAAAACAGTAACGATTATTTTTAGTGGAAAGCCACAATACAATGTTATCACTTGGAAATCCAAAATCTAACTGACTCTAAATTTTCTACATATATCTTTACAATAATTCTAAAATTGATTTCGTTTTAACTGACCAATAGAATTTTAACCTTTTTGTGTCTTAAATAACAAAATGACCAATCAGGTTTCAATACAAAATAATGTAACATAGCAACATAGAATTTATAACAACAATCATCACCTGGATATTTTATCAGTCATAAGGTTTAACAACATGATAAGTACAGACAGCTTAATTGACCTTATCACCTATACATTATAAAACTTTTAGCACAGTTGATTGGACAAAGAGGAAAAGCCGCATTTTAATCTTCCAGTTACATAATTTTAAATTTGACATCTGTTATTGAAACATATACAATTTGTAACTTAACATATTTGAAATTTCACAAATTTTGTTTTAAAAATATGACCTTTTAGAAAATGATTATATATATAAATATTTGTGTTTAAAAGAAAATCATCATGCATATTTATTCTTTTTTTTTTTTTTAAATGAATTTTATCATTTTTCGGCTGCACAACACTACAATATGTTGCCAGTAGCTGGCTAAGAGTTTAAACTTGTATAATAGAATTACAAAAATGATATTTTAAACATAAATGCCAATATCATTAAAAAAGAAACATCATAGATACGATTTGCTTCATTTAACAACGCATTTTGTTCCCGAATGGCAGAACAAAAATATTAAATGTGCAAAGCAGCTCTCGACAATGACAAATTGAAAATAAAGCCAGTTTCTGCATAGTGCAAAATATACATGAAGTTTCGTAAATGTAGTTTAATACTAAATAATTCCTGTTTTATTTTCGTTAAATCATTTACACTACCGTTAATACTCATGATAAATTTTAATAAACAAGACAAAAGACATTTTCGATTTTTTTTTATCAGTTATGAATAAAATACATTCGGCAATGACTATATAATGTATAAAAGACATTTCCAAATATTTTATTTTTAATATTTCTATTAAATTATTTATATAATACATGCAACTATGCAAAAAAAGTGATTTCAAAATATTTTTTAATTAATCATAAATAAAAAAAAAAACATGCAACTAAACTTTGACAACATATAATGCAAAAAAAAGACATTTTTAAACAAATATCTTTAATCAATTGATAAATAAGATAAAATTAACAAGTTAACGAATACTTTGCGAGTATGCCAATTCATAGGTGAAAGAGTATGAATATTATCTATAATATCCGATTAGAAAACAAACGGTTGCTACCAATATAATTGCCAAAGAATTGTTGACTGCTACAACCGCTTTTGATGTTTCCTTTAAGAACGTTTTTCTGTCCTGTAAACTTATGTCAATCGCAGTATTATTGTTGGCTGATAGACCAAATAGATGCTGGTATAGACGTGAGCAAATTCCTGACTTCTCTTTTGTGTCCGATGACTGCTCATCAACAATAATTTCTGAAAGAAAACAAAAACACATTAGTCTCAATAAGTTTAGTCTTAGACCTACTTTTACGACCTAAATTTGGAATTTTCAGTTTATTTTCCATGTACATTCCTACCCACTGTCTTCAACAGTCGTCAACATGTTGGAACAAACGGTACACATTCCGTATATTGATATACGGTAAATAGCCTGGCTACCGAGGATGTGTCTTCAGTACAGTACACAGACATATTAAACTGCGGGTCTATTTGGATATGCCACGCAGTCACAGCAATTACAGCCGGTCGTTCCGTTCCCTCCATTTAGCTGTTTAATCGTATATTTTCTTTACCAGCGTCAAATTTTTACTCTTTTTAGCATTGTTTTAATTTACAAATGCTCACTTTTACTCTCTTTAGCTGTAATTACAAATGTGCAGTATGTTAGTATAAAACTGCTTACAAAACGTCTCTAAAACCAATGTCAAATATACAATAACCTGCTCACATAGACTGATACACGTGTATTTATGACATATTTGTAAAAAGAATTAATGTTTAAAGAACTTTTTACATTATGTTTTACAAACCTTCCATAAGAGTTTTCCCAGACTCTTTACTAACGTCAAGTTCAATATTGACATGGTCATCCACTAGTTTATTCTGCTCTGCAATAACTTCTTTGTCTGCGGAGCATAAGTCAGCACGTATGCGAGTCGACCATGTTGTTCCTCGTATCTAAAAGAAACATGGCGTTAATTAGATACCGTCTTTTGTCCTTTGATTTGCTTTAAATGCTGCTGTTCCGAAATGCGGTGTCGCGTAATAATCACACGGACGTAATATTACCACGCGTGTGATAATTACGCAACACCGGACCTGAGTTAAATTTAATCTTTTTATCTGTTTGTCTTTGATACAGCATTTATCACCGTCTCTCATGAACAGACTCAATCAAACAGTCTACGGTTATCAATCATCACATTTTCTGAGTCCAATTTCCGTGGCAGTGCGGAGGAAATTAGCCGAGTATAACTTAATAAGTATGTCCGGCCAACACAGTAGATTTGTTTTAGAGCATAGCAAGATATATTTCCTACTCTTAGTGTACGAACAAACAAATATTTATCGGGTCATAAGGCAACCGGCCCATACACCAATAAAGAACTATAATTCAAATACATTTACGTTTGATGCTTCAAATCATGCATGTTTAAGACATACAAACAAGTATTGAAAAATGAAAGCATTTATCAAACATGGAAATTATACAGAGTTCATTTTGATATTGTTAGTTTACCAGACGAAGTCAAAACATATCTCGTTCTTGAAGAACAAGTTGCCACTTTTAACAGTTTCAATATGACACCAGATTATAATATTTCATATATCCGAAGGATACTTCCAATAATATTCATGAATGAACGTGCGACTTACATTTCACCATGTTTTCAAAATCCTATACAATTTCTATTCCTCATTGATAAGGGCAGGTTTTTTAAGCCATACAAGGGTTACAACAATATTTCTTCATATAACAACAATACTGGTTAGTTCCGGGGACTCGACAGTGGTCAAAAATTCCCAAACACTTTTCATCACAATCAAGCTAAAATAAAATAAAATATTAAAAAATATATCTAAAAAGAACCAAAATATTAATTAAGCCTGACACTTCGTTACCTGCTCCTCTGGTAAAGGTTTTGTGCACAAGCTGATCACAACCGTGAGCACAAATTGTAAAAGCATAATCATCTCGGAGTAGTAAAAGCTGTGTATTTTAGATAGAAACGCAGGTCTAATGTCCACTTCACCACAGTTTGGGACAGGATATACTACCTCCAGTATAAGTCTAATTATACCACATACATTAGCTATCACTATTCCATAAAAGGCACCCTACAATGAGAAACGTAGAAATAAAACAAGCAGTAATCAAAGTATTGCAAGCAATACAAAAGTCCTCAACCATTTTACCATTCTGGGTAAAGAGCTTGTTCCAGTTGTTGCAAGTTGACTACCGGTGGTTCGTGTCATTGCCCAAATGAAATTTAAAATTTTAGTTGTGGTCATGTCAAAATTGAGGCAAAAAGCCGGTTGTGCTTAACTTATTTCCAGGTGTTTTTATAGAAATATGAAAATGTGAAAGCAAAATCAGCAATGAATGAGTTTAAAAACTGATATTGATCAGTTACTACTTAGAAATATCAATTCTTCTTGAAATCTAAAATAACGGTTGAGCAAAGACCATCCAGTAATTATAGTGGAATTTATAATGGTATCCAGAAATTAGTGGGAATATCGAATCTTAATTCATAATGATATCAAGCAATTAGTGGAAATATCGAAGCTTAATTCATAATGGTATCCAGAAATTAGTGGAAATGTCGAATCTTAATTCATAATGGTATCCAAAAATTAGTGGGAATATCGAATCTTAATTCATAATGGTATCCAGAAATTAGTGGAAATATCGAATCTTAATTCAAAATTGTTATCAGAAATTAGTGGGAATATCAAATCTTAATTCATAATGGTATCCAGAAATTAGTGGAAATATCGAATCTTAATTCATAATGGTATCCAGAAATTAGTGGAAATACCGAATCTTAATTCATAATGGTATCCAAAAATTAGTAATAGAAAGAGCATCGAAACACGAGGCTATCTGATTTGTACGAGGGGGCGTAGCCCCGAGTATTAATCTGATTGCCGAGTGTTTTTATGTTCTTTCTCTTTTGTATCATAGTCAAACATAAAAACGCGTTCCCTGTTGTCACAGTATAAAATCCCAGAAAAAAGTAACCAATGAACGAGCATCTGAATATGACATTTCTGTCGCATTTCCTTTCTCTGCCGTCACAATAAGTAAACCCCAGGAAATTGGCATGATCTGGAGTGCGGGTAACTTATACCTGCAGTCCAGTTACCGCACTTTGTATGTATATGTATACGATTTAACCCTGACACATTTTCAACAGAAAGGTCCACAAACTATGATACAAGTGGAAATATCGAATCTTAATTAATGATGGTATCCAGAAATTAGTGGAAATATCGAATCTTAATTAATAAGGGTATCAAGCAATTAGTGGAAATATCGAAGCTTAATTCATAATGGTATCCAGAAATTAGTGGAAATGTCGAATCTTAATTAATAAGGGTATCAAGCAATTAGTGGAAAGATCGAATCTTAATTCATAATGGTATCCAGAAATTAGTGGAAATATCGAATCTTAATTAATAAGGGTATCAAGCAATTAGTGGAAATATCGAAGCTTAATTCATAATGGTATCCAGAAATTAGTGGAAATATCGAATCTTAATTCATAATGGTATCCAAAAATTAGTGGGAATATCGAATCTTAATTCATAATGGTATCCAGAAATTAGTGGAAATATCGAATCTTAATTCAAAATGGTTATCAGAAATTAGTGGGAATATCAAATCTTAATTCATAATGGTATCTAGCAATTAGTGGAAATATCGAATCTTAATTCATGATGGTATCCAGAAATTAGTGGAAATACCGAATCTTAATTCATAATGGTATCCAAAAATTAGTAATAGAAAGAGCATCGAAACACGAGGCTATCTGATTTGTACGAGGGGGCGTAGCCCCGAGTATTAATCTGATTGCCGAGTGTTTTTATGTTCTTTCTCTTTTGTATCATAGTCAAACATAAAAACGCGTTCCCTGTTGTCACAGTATATAATCCCAGAAAAAAGTAACCAATGAACGAGCATCTGAATATGACATTTCTGTCGCATTTCCTTTCTCTGCCGTCACAATAAGTAAACCCCAGGAAATTGGCATGATCTGGAGTGCGGGTAACTTATACCTGCAGTCCAGTTACCGCACTGTGTATGTATATGTATACGATTTAACCCTGACACATTTTCAACAGAAAGGTCCACAAACTATGATACAAGTGGAAATATCGAATCTTAATTAATGATGGTATCCAGAAATTAGTGGAAACATCGAATCTTAATTAATAAGGGTATCAAGCAATTAGTGGAAATATCGAAGCTTAATTCATAATGGTATCAAGCAATTAGTGGAAATATCGAAGCTTAATTCATAATGGTATCAAGCAATAAGTGGAAATATCGAATCTTAATTAATGATGGAATCAAGCAATTAGTGGAAATATCGAAGCTTAATTCATAATGGTATCAAGCAATGAGTGGAAATATCGAAGCTTAATTCATAATGGTATCAAGCAATTAGTGGAAAGATCGAATCTTAATTAATGATGGTATCAAGGAATAAGTGGTAATATCGAAGCTTAATTCATAATGGTATCAAGCAATTAGTGGAAATATCGAAGCTTAATTCATAATGGTATCAAGCAATTAGTGGAAATATCGAAGCTTAATTCATAATGGTATCAAGCAATAAGTGGAAATATCGAATCTTAATTAATGATGGTATCAAGCAATTAGTGGAAATATCGAAGCTTAATTCATAATGGTATCAAGCAATTAGTGGAAATATCGAAGCTTAATTCATAATGGTATCAAGCAATTAGTGGAAAGATCGAATCTTAATTAATGATGGTATCAAGGAATAAGTGGTTATATCGAAGATTAATTCATAATGGTATCAAGCAATTAGTGGAAATATCGAAGCTTAATTCATAATGGTATCAAGCAATTAGTGGAAATATCGAAGCTTAATTCATAATGGTATCAAGCAATAAGTGGAAATATCGAATCTTAATTAATGATGGTATCAAGCAATTAGTGGAAATATCGAAGCTTAATTCATAATGGTATCAAGCAATTAGTGGAAATATCGAAGCTTAATTCATAATGGTATCAAGCAATTAGTGGGAAGATCGAATCTTAATTAATGATGGTATCAAGGAATAAGTGGTTATATCGAAGATTAATTCATAATGGTATAAAGCAATTAGTGGAAATATCGAAGCTTAATTCATAATGGTATCAAGCAATTAGTGGAAAGATCGAATCTTAATTAATGATGGTATCCAGAAATAAGTGGTAATATCGAAGCTTAATTCTTAATGGTATCAAGCAATTAGTGGAAATATCGAAGCTTAATTCATAATGGTATCAAGCAATTAGTTGAAAGATCGAATCTTAATTAATGATGGTATCAAGGAATAAGTGGTAATATCGAAGCTTAATTCATAATGGTATCAAGCAATTAGTGGAAATATCGAAGCTAAATTAATAATGGTATCCAGAAATTAGTGGAAATATCGAATCTTACTTCATAATGGTATCAAGGAATAAGTGGAAATATCGAATCTTAATTCATAATGGTTTCCAGAAATTAGTGGAAATATCGAATCTTAATTTATAATGTATCCAGCAATTAGTGGACATATCTAATCTTAATTCATGATGGTATCCAGAAATTAGTGGAAATAATTAACCTTAATTCTTAATGGTATCCAGCAATTAGTGGAAATATCGAATCTTAAATGGCTTTGCACACCATATTAAAAAATACCGGTGCCAGAGATTACAGATTGCTGCAGTGTTATAGTTCAAAAACTAGAACTGTGTCCAAAGGACACGGATGCCCCCACTGACAACATATATATGGTATGTAGTGAAAAAATCAACAAAGGGCCATAATTCTGTTAATTTTTTTTGTTCCATGTTATTTATTTTCCTCGTCAATAGGTATATGCAGGTCGAGGACATCCTATTCTATGTATATAAAAACTAAAAACATATGAAATAATATAACAGTAACAAACATATAATGTATTGCAGGTGTTATGACCAATATACAATTACTACCATATTTACCAATGTTACATATAATTATATGCTATATATTATTCAGTTAACAAGGAACTTCATTATATATTTATTTTTTTAAATGAAAAAAGAAGAAGAAAAGGAAAAAGAAAACAGGTTTTGCAAGTAATATATTTTTGATAATTTATACTTCTGGCTATCGTTTTCGGCTTTACAAACATATGTAAGGTTAACTATAGCTCTATCTTTTGACTAAAAAAAGTCCAGGGCTTATTAAAGGTATCTAAATCATTTTGGTAAATTGCTTTCTCTCTCAAAATTATAAATTGGTACTTAATATATTGATGTGCTCTTGAAGTATTTGGTACTTGTTCGTTTACTCTACAGTTGTAAATATATCTTTTTAGAAAAAGAAAAATAATATTTATTGCAGTTGAATTACTATCTTTCAAACCAAGGATAAAGTTACAACAGTTGAGCAAAGATCTAAAACTGCCATACTTTTCAAAAACAGAAAATATTAAATTGTTTATAGTCCGATAAAACCAAAACATGTGTTCTAATGTTTCTCTCTCATTTTTACAAAAACTACAGAGTTCGTTATCTTTTAATTTCATTTTAAAAAGGAATGAATTAGTTGCTATTATTCTATGATTAATTCTGTACTGAAACCATTGAAGGCCTGAATCATTTGATATTTTAAAAGGTAAAGAAAAAATGTAACTCCATTCGTCTTCACTTAATATTACATTGAGCTTTTCACACCATTTGATATACAAGTAGGTATAATCTTGGTTTTAATAAATGATGTGTACTTTTAGTAAATTTTAAAATAACTTTTAAGAAAGGTGGTATAAAAGGTCTCTGCTTATTCTGTTAAATTTGGTCGCAGCAAAAATCCTTCCTTTACTACCATCTACACATTAAGGTTGTTCACCCCTGGAAGTTTACGCAAAATCAGCCATCCGGTTAAAGAGGAGTTGCGTTCACAAAATTTCTATATGGTATATAGTGAAAAAATCAACAAAGGGCCATAATTCTGTTAAATTTGGTCGAAATATCGAAGCTAAATTAATAATGGTATCAAGCAATTAGTGGAAATATCGAAGCTTAATTCATAATGGTATCAAGCAATTAGTGGAAATATCGAATCTTA